CTGTAGTTTCCTGGGTCAGTCTTGTCTCCTTTCTTAAACAAGTTCACAACCACTCCTTCCCTCCATCTACTTGGCGTATACTCGTTTTTCCATACCCAATTGTATAGCAGTACCATCAGATGGATTATCCCAATCACCCCAAACTTCATGAACTCATTGACTATCCCATCCGCTCCTGCTGCTTGGTGGCACTTCAGCTTGCTCACACACGCCTCAACCTCGTCCTCAGTGAACTCCTTTTCTAGTTCTACGTTCCCCACGTCTGCCTTCGATGTCTCTTCTTTTTTCTGGGCCCATGCGTCCACCGCCTTCTTGAACACTTGGTCACAAGCTTCATTCTCCGAGAGCACTCCAAGTCTCTTGTAGTGTCCTGCTAGAACTTCCCTTTTTTCCCTTCTCACTGCTGGCTAATCCACCGTTCACACCTCGCAAAGTTGCGACCCCTGTATCCCCCCCTTGCGCGGTCTTTTTTACCATTCCACTAATCCCTTCCCACATCTGCTTGACGTTTCCCTCCAGGCCTCCGTTGGCCTTCTGCACTACTTCGTCCCAAATACACTTTTTCTTCTTTTTCACTAGTCCCTTCACCTGTTTTCTCTTGGCCCTGTACTTTTCCCAACTCTCCTCAGACGCCTCACTCAGGTACTGCTTGAAGACTTCTCTACGTTCCCATATTTCTTCTTTCAGCTCGTCATCCGACCACTTAACCGATACCCCACATCGTACCACCTTCTTTCCCACTACTCTCTTTGCCGTTGCGTTCACGACGGACTCCCGCCCTTCAATCACTCTGTCCCCTGCTGCCTGTACGTCTACCTGTCCGTCTTCGACGCTTCTCAGCAGTTTCCTGAAGGGTTCTACACTACCAGCCAGTCCCTTCTGGAATTCATCCCGTGTCCCATCGTCTCCCAAACGCTCTACTTTCCACCGGAACACTTTCCTCTGTTTCTTACTCTTGATCTTTCTAGATCGGTCGATGTTTGCCCATATGAGGAAGTGGTCGGTCGAACCTATATCTATCGCACTTACGTGCAGCTCTGGGATCTGTGTGCTCCCCCTATCGACCAGGATGTAGTCGAGGATCGAGTATTCATTGCAAACTGCCCGTTGCCTGGTGAACTCCGGCTTATCGCATTCCCTCCTACCGTTCAACACCATCCGCTCGTTGCCAAGGAGGTGGGTGGGTCTATCCACCATATTCCGAGGACTTACAACACACGCTGAGCAGCAGCGACGATCTCTCGCCCCTCCCCCCAAGCTACTCACAACGCCACCGAGACCTACACCCCCCCCCCCCCCCCCC